CTGTAACATGTAGATTTTCTTAGCACCACAGACCATTTACTCTGCACTTTCTATGTGCCAAGTGTGGAGTTAGATGCTTTACAAACAGCATTTCTTTTTTTAATTTGTTAAGGTTTATTTACTTTTGAGAGAGACAGAGTGTGTGTGTGTGTGCACATGCACGTGTGCACCTGGGGGAGGGGAAGGGGCAGAGAGAGAGAGAGGGAGACGCAGAATCTGATGCAGGCTCTGAGCTGGCAGCACAGAGCTCAACGTGAGGAGCTGTCTCCCGATCCTCAAGATAATGACCTGAATGAATGGAAGCTTAACTTTCTGGGCTGCCCAGGCACCATTTGCTGCTGCTGCCTAAGTGCTTGTTTACTTCCTGATTGGCATTGGTGCTAGTTTTCCCAAGAGCTTCAGCTGTCATTCCCCTTTGCAGGCAGGGTGGTGGGTGAACAGCCAGGTGGGACCTTCACAGTTATTGAGCTTTCAGTAGGTCTCCGTTCCCAAGGATGAAGGAAGGGAGATAGTTGTCCCCTGTAAACTGAACCGGTTCTGCTCTGCAGGTTATATTCACCTGCACAGGCTCTGTGACTGAGCACCTTCTGCTCTCAGATGCAGGGATTGCATGCCCGGGAATCTGTGAGAACTTGGGCTCTGTCCTCAGTGTCTGAGTCACACTCCTCCCCAAAGCAGATGAATGTGACTGGATTTCTGGTCAGGAAAGGGCCAGAGTGAGGCCAGCCGGGGGCTGAGGGCAGCATGGCCATGTGTCAGCTGCGGGGCTCTGCGTGGGGGCTGCCACAGGCCTCCCTGCCCTGCCCTGAGCAGAGGGGCCTTTGAAGGGCTCTGCCACCATCAGATGTGGCTCTGGTTCCTGACCTGTTCTACCCAGCCACCCACACCGCCCCCTCATTTTCATTTTTAATTCAGCTCTGGCTCTCCAGGAACCTATACTACACCTTTCTTCCCTGGGCCCATTGATGATCTCCTTCGGGAAGGGAAGGTGGCAGTTTTGTCCAGGGTGGGGTTTTGTCCAGGTGATGGTGTGTGGGCTCCGAGGAGAGCCGGCAACGCTGCACTTCTGCGGGGAGTTGCAAAGCGTCTCCCATAAAGAGAGCCCATGAAGCCCGTGCTCAGGGGCTTTCCCAAGAGAAGAACCAGACAGACTCCTGCTCAGAACGCACGGGCCATGGGGCCTTCAAAGGGAGCCCAACTCTTCTAAGAAAATGGTAAGATACAGAGTCTCGGGCCAGAAGGGGAGAGGCAGGACGGATCAGGGACGAGAGTTTATCAGTGCCTCTGATGTCACAGACATGACCTTGTAGTTGTGTCATGACCAGAATGGGGAGCAGGAAACTAGCAACGTACTTGGTGTGCAGATGTCGGGTTGAGACAGCTCGGCTGCATATGTAGGCTTCACAGTTCTGTCTGGTCTTCCCCTCATAAAGGCTTATTCCATGATCGCTCTCAGCAGGGTCAGCCTGCAGAGACTCTCCCTCTCCCTCTGCTCTTCCCCCACTTGCGTGTTCTCTCTTGAAAAAAAAAAAAAATCTCATAGGGACATTTCAGGTGGCTTGTCAGTTGAGGAGGAATGAAAATACATATGAAATGATTCCAGAGTCCAGCTTTGAGGCAACAGTTAGAAGCCAGAACGACAGGGTAAGGGAGACTGGGTGCATGGATGAGGCCCCACTGTGCCTGGCCCACCCCAGAAACCACAGAGTGTTCAGCAACCCTACGTGGGATATCTCAGCTTACTGCTGCTGTGTCCTGTGACTGGGTCAAGGCTTGACTCGTGAAAACAATCACAACTGGGGATTCCAGTGGACAGTGCCTGATGCTGACCATGGATGGCCCCCTGTGGATGATACCTTGATGGCACGGGGGAGTGTGTGAGCATGCTCTGTTCCACACGAGAGCACTGATGAGTCTCATTTGCCTTTTCCATGTTCAGGCTGTAAAAGCTTCTTAGGCACCATGTCTTATCTCTACTGTAATGCCTAGCTTTTACTCTGGCGCCCGTACGGGGACACGTTGGGGAGAGTTGGTGGTAGAGGGTGTGAAATGAAGCCTCAGCGGTGCCTGCATGCTCGGGGGCCCAGGCCTCTGGCCTCTGGTGCCACAAGGATAGAGTGCTGGTGCTACCGTGCAATAGAAGGTCTGTGTCCTGAGGTTGCACAGAAGGTGTTGACAGAAAGATTGCTAAGAGTGAAAGATCCGTGTAAGTAAAGGTTTTGGAATCAACTTGACCCCCATTCACAGTCCAGCCCTGTGACGGAATCTCCATGCACATCTAACCTATGACAGCAGCATGCATTGGGCCTCCCAGGAAACCCAGGCATTACCTGGAATATTCAGTAAATACCACCTTCTGGAAAAACTCCAGAGGTGCCACTAGAACGTCCAAGTACATGGAACACGCGTGAACCGCTTCAGGGGCCCAGCGTCCTCCTCTGCCAGAGCAGGGCATCACAGAATTCCTTCTCTGAGGCGCACTCCCCACCGTGCGTACAGGCGAGCTTACTTGCTAGAGTCCTGTGTTCTCCATGAGTCATGAACCCTCATTCTGTCTGTCCACCAGGGAGCTGATGATGGGGAAAGCAAGGATTTGTGTGTGAGGAGGTCAGCAGTGAATGGGCACACTCCAGCCCAGGGTCCCTGGAGTCCCCGGCTGATCCCAGACTGGAAAGGCACTCCCCTCACGGGAGAGGCCTAGAAGAGGAGGCAAGATCAAAGGGAAGTCGGGTAAGGAGGTGGAGGGCCCAGCTCAGCTTTGGCCGTGGCCACCCTTCCGACTCTCTGGCTGTGGAACAGCAGATGAGTGGGAAGGAGGGGATCGGTAGGCTTTGGCCTGCTTCTCTGGGTTGAGAATACTGGATCCTCTCTATGGGAATGGTCAGGAATCCTTGGAAAAAGAATGCTGCCCATTAGGAAATTAGATCAGTAGTTAAAATGTTTCAGTGAGGGAGACCGAAACCATGGGGAGAGTCCCAGTATTTCATACACAGGAGGGAATAGTGGCTTCTTCGTGGTCTTAGGAAGGGCTGAGCCAAAGCAGGAGGGTCATCAACACGTGGGAGCAGATCTAGAGCCTTGGAGGTGTTACCTTGTGTATACTCACTTCAGATTCATTCTCTAGTGGCTAGTGCAGAGATCAGGCCGTGTTAGTCAATGGAGGTGGCCAGTGAGGTGTCAGGAAATGTGGCAAGCAGCTACTCCACTTGGGGCTGGGGGAACACAGGGAGAAGGTTGCATTGACAATCTGGAAGGGAGGCCTTGCTGAGCTGGGTCACATCACGGGGGTGCTGGAATTAGATGGTGCTGCCTCACCAGCTGGTGCTGGTACTTTGGAGGGTCTCATGAGGAGATTCTAGAACAAAGTGTCTGCTTCACTGACGGCTTTGTGTCTGGCTGCTACATAACCTGGTATGTTATAGGGAGTCAAATGTTTCCCAGGTGAATGAGTGAATGAATGTATTCCCCAGTTCTCACGATCTCCAGACTATGTGCGGTAGCTGACAGGCCAGGGTTGGGAACTCTAGTACTGACTTCCTTTCTGTGCCCCGTGGACTGGAGCGTAAAACAGCTGGAGTGAGGAGGCAACCTCCACCTCCAGCAATACAAGGAATCAGCAGATGCCCCTGATGCCCTGGCCCCAGCACGCCCTGGAGTGAGAGGAGCCTGCTAGTGAGGCTTCACTGGGCCCTCCATCCTTATTGTTAACATTGACTTTCACTGGTCCCGCCCATTGATCAAATCCAAGTCCTTTGAGTGGGTATAAAGTTCTTCTGTAAATGGTCCACCTTGGGCTGTCTCCCTCTTCCCCACCACGGATCTCCAGTGAAGTCATCTGTCCCCAACAGGTCACATTGAAGTGCATCTCTGTGTTTACCCAGGCTCTTGAAAGACATTTTTTTGTTTGTTTTTGTTTTGTTTTCCTGTGTATAGAGCAGAGTGTAGCCTGTCACTCTGGGAACTAGCATACATGGCCTGTCCTAAGGGCCACACTGGAGGACAGCGTATGCAGGATTCATGGGGTGCCCAGGCCAGGCTCAACTGGGGGAAACACTGAGGTACATTCTTACGTGTTGCTTTCCTTCTCTTCACTAAAATTAAAAAAAAAAAAGTATATTTTTCCTAATTGATACAGAATATTCCTTATTTATGTTCAGTTCCTCAGAGTCTGAAATAGTGACCATGATCCTTGTCACCATAATTAGACATGGTCTTAACACCTTGAGTGCACTGGCCAAGAACCAGGACAACGTGCCCATCGTTTCCCATATTTTATCTATGGAAATTTGATAGAAGCTTAGCCCTCTAGGCCTGTTCAGAATTAGTGTTTTTAGGTTGGCTCCTGGTGCTTCTCACACCCCATGTTCCCTCCTCCTGTACCCGTTTTCCATACTCCTCTGCTGTCCCTCTCAGTGACTGTGCACCCCCGCCCCCCAACCCCGTTCTGCTGCTTCTCTGCATGTCCTTCTGCAGCAAAGCAGGCGCTGCCCCCGGATCCCCTGTGGGCTTCTGCCGGAGGATAAGGTTTCTGATGGAGAAAGTTCAGACCAAAGGCCAAGAGTATGTGGAGGGAGAAACACCTTTATTTTCATCAGAAGCAGTAATGCGTATGAACCTGCAGCAACCATTGACTGTACCAGGTAAGAAAGCAGGATCCTGGTGGGGGTGAGACACAGGAGAAATCTTAGAGGAAGCCAGAGGTCACACCTAATGAAGTCTGAGATGAAGTCACTTGGAGTAGTAGTATCTGGTGGCTTAAGCCATTCCTCAAGCTTTGCTCTTTTCTGGGTGACTGGGATACACAGCAATGATCTACTCTGAGGTGGAAGTTCCTGAAAGCAGGTTATCTGTAGGCCATTATTAGTTTAGGAAACCAATCTAGTAGCTTAACTTCTAGATGTGCTTCCCATGAGGAGAGAAAACATCTTCTGTGACCTTCCCCAGGAACCCTTCCCAGGCCTCTAGCCTGGACCCCTGTTCAGAACAAGATTAACCTAGTTTCCTGTCAGGACTTTGGACCCCACAGGCCTCTTCCTTGAGAGCAGACGGAAGTCCACGGTGACACACGACTGTGGGTCACAGGCAGACCTATAAAGAAAGCTCAGGATTCTTTTGCTGGTTGCTCTTCCTGCCCGTGTTGTTGAGACCGGCTGGTGAGTAAGTCTCCTGCTGCTCCAGGGCCTGGCTAGCAGAAGCCTCCACGAGCTGACAGAAGCTTCAGGTAACACGTCAAACTACGGAATTGATTTGTTGGCTCTCCTACACCCCCGCTCCACGTATCCCTTCTTGGTGATGTGAGGTGTCTTCCTTGTGTGCCCCCTTATGGCATATCAGGGCAGGGTGCTTAGTGAAGCTTCCCTCACACAGAGCAACTGTAATACTTCTCCCCAGTGTGTGTTTTCTGGTGGGCATTGACGGAGCTGTTGTTGAAGCTTTTCCCACACTGTGCACGCAGGTATGGGCTCTGCCCCATGTGGGCTCGCCGGTGAGCGCTGAACTGGGAGCTGTTGTTGAATCTCTTTCCACAGACGGTGCACTGGTAAGGCTTCTCCCCGGTGTGGGTCCTCTGGTGGACAATGAGGCTGGAGCTCTGGTTGAAGCTTTTCCCACATTGCCCACAGCGGTAGGGTCTCTCCCCCGTGTGCGTCCTTAGGTGGGCAGTGAGGTTGGAGCGCTCACTAAAGCCTTTCCCACACTCGCTGCACTTGTGAGGCTTTTCTCCCGTGTGGATTCTCTGATGCCGCACAAGGTAAGAACCTCGGCTAAAGCTTTTCCCACATTCCTGACACTTAGAAGCTCTGTCCAGCTCGGGGACTGGCTGATAACAACAGAAAGTTCCTTGAGAGCAGGTTCCCCCTGCACAGGCCTTCTCTCCAGCCTGGAGTATCTGCTGCCTCTCCCTCTCCTGGGCTGGGGCTGTCCCCTCGTGCTCGCCTGGAGACCGTCTACATGGCCCTCTCAGCATAGGCTCACCCTTCCCTTCTCTCTCCGGTTCAGGGTTCCAAAAAAGGTCACCAGACTTTCTCCATAGGGCCTCCTTCACCTCAGCCTGCTCTGAATGCTCCCATTTTTTATTCTCTTTTTTGGTTCCATTCTTGATCTCAAGACCTGAGAGAACAGAAACATGCCGGGCTGTGGAGAAAGAACAGAGGAATGAGGAAGGTTATCATTAGAGCACCAACAAGAATATCTAAATGGAGGTCTTCACAGGATTCAGTCTTCTACTAATAATAGCCTCATTTCATTTTCCAGTTGTAATATTTTCAAGCTCCAAACCCTGTGGTCACAGGTAAATACCCCTCAACTCCACCTGCTTTTCTCTTGTTCTGTCCCTTTTTGGATGTTTGGACACAGTGACAAAACCGAGGCAGGGAGGCCAGTTCTGTGCCATCTGCCAGTCTGTCTGCAGGTTTGATCTCAGTTCTTGACAGCCTACCTGAAGGGCCTCCCGAGTTTGGCCCAAATGAGAAGAAAGCGTGTTGCGAGCACCTGGCCAGCATGTGATTTACCAGGAAAGGGGGATCATGCAGCAGGAGGAGGGAAGAGGAGAGTCTGCCTGGAGGCCTGACTGGCCATCTGAGGAGGCTGACGAAAGGAGCTGCACAGGAAAAATGATAGGCCCCCTGGGAAAGAGGCTGGTGGATGTGGGATTTGGGATCTGTAGGGCAGAGGAAACAGCCTCAATGTGCAGAGAGCCAGACTCCCTGGCCTGTGGAAGGCCATCCATCAAGGCGGTGAGCACACCAGCAGCAGAGGCAGCCCCTGCTTTAATGCTGGGCTGAGGTCCTCTGGGTAGACCTCCCTGTCCTTTGAGCATCAGAGGCAAGAGTCCTACCAACTCTCTGTGGGAACAGAACTGGCAGGTCTTGTCTCCTACGTCCCTGGCCAGGATTCCAGATGTCCTTTTCATCCCTGGCTGCACCATCCACCACTGCCCCTTCTCTGACCTCTGTGGGCTCCCCGTTCTGCTGACTTAGCTCCACAAACTCGGCAACCCTTCCGTCTTGGTCAAGAACAGCACTGCTTCCCACTGTGCATGTGGAGGCCCAGGAGCTTGACGGGTGTCCATTCCTCCTCAAGGCCAGATGGCTCAGCAACAGCCTCCTCTCACTTTGTGGTATCTCAGCTGTAGGCAGTACCCTGTTCCCAGAGTGCTTTTGCTACCACCCTGTAAGTCTGGCTGTTCTGACGAGGATGGAGTTTCTCATGTAGTTGAGCTTTACAGAGAACATCCAGGGGCGCCTGTGCCTCCTCTTCACCCCAGCGCACACCTGCCGCCATGGGCCAAGGGACACATGATGAGATCACAGAGGCCTGGACGCCACAGGGCAAGGTTAACAGCTCAACAAGTTCCACGTTGGTTTGTCCAGCTCTGCCACCAGTGTCTGCTGTCATCCCTGGGAAACCACCTGACTGTGGGGGTCTTTGCTAAAACAGAAACGTTCAGTGTAGTGGAAAGGGCATCCTTTCTGGTGGAGAAGGGGTTGGTGAGTATTTACCAAAGTTGCACTTTTGTTTCTCTTCATCCTGAATCCCACTCATTTCTCCTGAGTGATGGCACGTAAGTGCAATGCCTATCTCTGTGGTTGGGAGAACCTGTGAGGGTTTGTAGCTCATGAGAGGACATGGCTGCTGGTAAGTCGCTTCTGTTGCCTTCCACCTCTGATGTTGAGTAGCGCTGACTGGCCCATCCCTGTTTTGAGTATCTGCTGTCATCCTTGTCGATGCCACAGCATGACCTATCCCGAGGTGGAAGAAGCAGTGCTCCCCCGAGAAGGGCATGAGGCCCGCTGGTTCCTCAGGAACACCCAGCACATGCTCCTCACAGTAGGGCCTACGGGCTGGTTCGGGGAGGGTTCTTGTGTCAAGGAACTACTCAACACGATCCTTTTAAAATGATTCCCTGTGTGCTTAGAGTACTGCAAGGCCACCCCATTTCACTGAGAAAACATCAAGTGCTTACAAAGTCCTTTATGTAGGACCCCAGCTCCTACATTAGAGCTTGTCAAGGGCGCCTGGGTGGCTCAGTCAGTTAAGTGTCTGACCTCAGGTCATGATCTCATAGTTTGTGGGTTCGAGCCCCGCATTGGGCTCTGTGCTGACAGCTCAGAGCCTGGAGCCTGTTTTGGATTTTGTATCTCCTGCTCTCTCTGACCCTCCCCTGCTCACACTGTCTCCCTCCATCCCTCTCTCCCTCTCTCTCAGAAATAAATAAAACATTAAAAAAAAGAGCTTGTCAACTATCTCTGAAAAGCCAGGTGGTTTGTTGTGAATGATACAGTAGAAGTGCACTTGGACACAGCAGCAATAGGAACTTGTCAGGTCTGTAAATGCTTGCTCTGTCTCAGTTCAGGTCATTTTCAGTAACACTGACCCAAGTGATCTGGCGCCGGATACCATTTTTCAGGCTTACCCTCTCTCGGTCTGCGCTGGCCACACTGGCCACCTCCTCAGACTCACTGTAGCCTCAGCCTGTGTGCTGGCTGTTTCCTCTGTTGCATTCTTTCCCCAGACGGCCATGTAGCTCGTGGCTGCTCCTGACATCTTTGTTCACTTGTCATCTTCTCAGCGAAACGCAAAGCCACTCTCTACCCCACTTTGTCCCCACACCTTTGATCACTTGTCTTCTGCTCCACTGTCCTGTAGCTGCAACGGAAGCTCATTCCTAGCCACTGTTACTGACTTCTGGACTCGTCCAACAGCCACAGCTGCTAGGACATCACCCTCTTCCATAGAGAATTCAGGACCTATCCCCACACTATTACCTTAATGTTGTGTACACAAAGTCCACAGGTAATAGCGAGGCAGAAAATTCACTACTTCGGTGACAGAGACACACTGGCTTTGGCTTTCCAAGTTCAGAACTCCAAAGAAAATGCCCTGGGTTACCCAGCCAACATAAAGGCTTAGGTGCTCCTTTCCTTGTGTGTAAGCCGTACACAGTCCAACAAGTGGCATTAATGTTGGCTGCCCAATACAGCCTTCATTCCGACTGCCCCCACCTGGGAGGGAATAGGAACCATCTTCAATTTATAACCAGAAGACAAGACCCAGTGTGGGGGACCCCTGTGCTCCTGCGAGTAGTGCAGAGAGGCTGTGGGGGTCCAGGGCTGGCTGTTTGCTGTCGGATTTGTAGCTGCTGGCATTCCCCGCTGTGTCTTTGTACTTGAGGAGTCTTGGCTTGGGCCCTGACCTCAACTGCCCTATCTGCCATATTCCTAGGAGAACCACAGGAGCCATGTGAGGCCAGCGGCGCTTCCATGTCCTCTCAAAAGACAGGTTCTGGGCTGCGGTCTTGAACAGCCCTGAGGCTTTTGAACTTCCTTTGATGTTGCTCCAGAGGCCATGGGGACCACATTCACACAAGAGCTTGGCAACTTTGCATACTTAACACGCTTTAAAAAAAAAAAAAAAGACCCGGGCAACTTCCCCACACAGCCAGCTGCTTACTGGTGCACCTGGAGTTTCCCATAAAATCCAGGTTCACTGACAACTGACAGGAACATTCTGCTTTCCTCAGCAGCCCGAGCTGTGCCTGCCGTTTCTCCGGCCGCTGAATCTGGCTGCTGGGTGTCACCTCCGATCCATTCTTCCCCGTTTGGCGGTGTCTCATGGGCAGTGTCCCTGTGGAACTCCTATAATGTTCCTCGCTCAGCGGTAAGTATTGAGGGCCCCTGTGTGTTCTTGATCCGGAGCATGACTGGGAACCCCCGCAGGGAAGAGACATCAAGGCTGAGCCAGCCGCAGAGCATCTGTCCCTTCCCTGAATCTGCTGCTCTGAGGTGCAGCCCTGAAGAGGCAGAACTGATTTTTTTTTAAAATGTATTTATTTTTGAGAGAGACTGAACGTGAGTGGGGGAGGGGCAGAGAGAGGGAGACATAGACAGGCTCCAGGCTCCGAGCTGTTGGTACAGAGCCTGACGCAGGGGGCTGAGCAGGGCGGGCAGAGCTGACTTGAGAACAGCAACCGACAGGCCGGAGACTGCAGAGGGCCTGGCTGCCTCCTGAGGGCACAGGCACAGAAGCATGCGGTCAGAGTTGGGTGCTCTTGTGTTTCACCTCTGCCACTCAGGACAGCCCTCGGGGGCGTGTGTGAGCACAAGTGCATTTGTGTCCGCCCGGTGTTCCCACAGGCTGCACCCCCTCACTGCCGGCGGTCCCCTGCTGTCTCTTTCTCACTCCCTCCGCCCCATGCTCTACCTGCCGCTTCCACCCCCACTGCTCTCCGTGTCTCGCCCTCCCTCGTTCCCACCCTGTAATGCTGTCCACCCTGTCATGAGCCCTCTGGCCTGTCTTCCCTCTCTTCCAGTCTCTGTGTCTTGTACCTGCTCTCGGGCTCCTCCGGTTTATTTCCTTCTTTCCTCGACCCAGTGGTCTCCCTCCCTTCTCGGGTCTCACAGTCTCTCACTCTCTGAACAAATGAACATCCACTCTGGGCTGAGGGAATGGGCATCCTTACCCAGAGAGTCATTTTTGTCATTCCTCCTTGTAATGTCCCTGTGGAGGATCCTCTGTGCAGGCCCGAGGTATAGCCGTCCTTCTTGACCGAGGAGTAAGGCTTTGTCCTCACACGTGGCTGCTCCCTGTAACAACACCGGGGGCTGCTGCTACCGTTAAGTAGCACTGCTCTCGCCTGGTGTGGGCTAGGGACATGGCCACAGGCATCACGTCAGGGTAAAGCGAGGCAGGGGACGTCAGGTCTCTGAGGGAAGCATCAGGGTGAGGAAGGAGCTGGGAAGATGACAGGTGGACAGAAAACAACGCAAAGAAGGCCAGTGGATGGACCTCATGATCTCCCTAACATCTCTGGAAATGGGGCTTGGGGGTAAGAGTGAGTGAAATGGGAACCTCAAGAGACAGAAGGAGTCAAAGCACAGCTCACCTGGGCCCCAGCTGTCCCACGCACAGCGCCCGTCTCCTGGTCTCGAAGACCCCTCTCTTGGGGCAGGTTCCTGGGAGGCTGTGCCATCATCCAGGCTGGCGAGAAAACAGCCTCTGTTGGAGGGCGGCTGCCACAGAGCAGCCAGAGCAGGGCTGTGCGTGGGGCTCCCAGCCCAGAAGCAGCAGCAGCAGCAGCACTGGGCACCCGTCACAAATGCACATTCCTGGGCCCTGCCCCCACTGCATCAGAAACTCCGGGGCTGTGAGTGGATGGACACAGCCCCCCGGGTGAGTCCAAACACGCTAAGAGTTTGAGGACCACTGCCATTGCCAGTGGCCTCTGTGTGTCAAGAAGCTCCTTTCAGCAGACACTTTGCATGACAGCTTTTATCAAAAAGGCTTTCTTCATTCTAAAGCTCTGTGGGGGCGCCTGGGTTGCTCAGTTGGTTAGGCATCGACTCTTGATTTCATCTCAGGTCATGATCCCAGGTTGTGGGAACTAGCTTCCTGTCAGGCTCTGTGCTGAGCTTGGAGCCTGCGTAAGATTCCCCCATGCTCCTCCCCCATTCTCTCGTGCACGCACTGTGTCTCAAAATAAATTTTAAAGTGCTATGTGCATGTTATAGAAAAAAAATGTTTAGGGGTACTGGGTGGCTAAGTTGGTTAAGTGTACAACTCTAGATTTTGGCTCAGGTCATGATCTATCTCATGATCATGTACTGACAGTGTAGAGCCTTGGGATTCTCTCCCTCTCTCTGCCTCTCACCTATTCTGTCTCTCAAAATAAATAAAAAACATCAAAAAAAGTTAAATGGAGAAGGGAAGCTCTGAGCCCCACCATCAAGATGACCCTAGCACTCCTAAAAATACCATAGTAATTGAAGACTTTTACTTTTCTCACACAAACATATTTCCCAGAAACCCACCTTCAGGAATTCTGCTAAGTGGGGCCCTAGGTGGCTCAGTCGGTTAAGTGGCCGACTTCAGCTCGGGTCATTATCTCATGGTTTGTGGGTTCAAGCCCCACATAAGGCCCTGGGCTGATAGCTCAGAGCCTGGAGTCTGCTTTGGATTCTGTGCCTCCCTCCCTCTCTCTGCCCCTTTCCTGTTCATGCTCTGTCTCTCAAAAATAAATAAATGTTAAAGAAAAAAAAGAATTCTACTAAAGAAAGGGTTTATTTTGTTGACTGAAGAACAGAACCTCTAGGACATGCAGAGGTCTGTGACTATGAAGATGTTATCGAACTAGGGATCAGAGCAGCCTGAAGACAGGTGAGCTGGGGGAGCGGAATCTGGCACAGGGTGAGTTTTTACCCCCTTCACATTCAGACCCCACAGCCCTGGAAACCACATACTGGAGAGCAGTGATGTTCCCAAGATTAAAAAAAAAAAAAAAAAAATGCTAAGTGGTAGAGTTTTCAGAGATACTGACTGAGTGTCCCATTTGCTTAAAAACACAAAACTAAGTACACCTCTTAGACAGTTTTCTGTTTCAACAGAAAGTAGCCAATGGAAACAGGGTCAAGATGTAATGTTTTCGTCTAGGGTGTGGGTTAAATAAAGAGCTGGTTTTTAGGAATTACTCTACACCCTACGATGGTAGCTTTCGATTAAGCAGAAAAGGCAGTAGTGGCCTTGGACTATCTCAAAATGTATGCAGCCACACTGGTTCCCTGTAAGAGATACAGAACAACAGAGACTTGGTCTGTCTTTGCATTGGAATATTATTTAGCCATGAAAAGGATGGGAGTAGTGATAGAGGCTTAAACCTGTTAAATGAGAAGGTCATGTGCTGCAGGCTACCCTTTCTATGAAATCTCCAGAACAGACCCATAGAGAGAATGAGGAGTAACTCCTGAATGCGTGGGTGGCTTCCTTTAGGGGGTGACAGTGTTATGAACTGGAGACACATGATTGTAGAACACGTGAATGTATGTGCTAAATGCACGTGGATTGCTCACTTGAAAATGGCTAATTTTGTTACATGAATTTCACTTCAACGTAACAATTTTTTAACAAAAAAAAATTAAGAGAACAAAAAGCCAAAATAGAGCTTTGGAAGAAAGGCAGAAATAATCAGGGGAAATTTGTTTTGGATGAAGTTAAGCTGGATGAGAAAAGGGGTTTTGTCTTCAAATATATGAAGAGCTACTATGCAGGTAAGGGCACATGTACTGATTTTAATATTCCGGGTGCAGAAACAGCAGAATCAACTGTAAGAAGGGAGAATTAGGGCGACACAGAAAAAAACTCCACCCGTCTAAGTGCTGTTACCATCACCGAACAGAACATTTGAAATCTTGTGTTGTGGGTACATTTCAAAGACATTTAATCTAGAACACTCAAGCTCAGACCTGCATTTCCAAAATCAGTTTTTCTACAGCCCCAGGCGAGGGCAGGAATTCCAATTACCTTCTGGCTGTTGCGCTGATCTTTGTTGGGAGCTCTGTGACCCCGTCAAAGCGCTTTCCTCTGGATGACCCCGCCGGTTCAGGTGGGACCTCCGTGGCTCTCTGGCTGCTCCCAAAGGGGCTGTCTCCTCATTGAGCACTTTCCAGTCCTTCCCTGAATCTGGGACCTGAGAACAGACCCCATCATCTGTCACTCCAAAGTCCTGCCTAATGGACTTTAAAACCCCTAACAGTGGCATTAGGAAATGACGTGAGATACAAGGAGGCAGAAGAGAAATACTCTCAAGGTCCTGTAATTAAAAAAAAAAAAAGAAAAAAAAAAAAAAAAAGGAATAGAAGTGGGTCTCAATCCCCGGGTCTCCAGCGATTCAGATTCAGTGGAAGCACTTAGCATACAGGTGACATGGTCCAAGTGCTAACCATGGTGCACAGCTTCAGAAAGCTGTGGCCCCAGCAGTACTGCCCTCTCCCCACGCCCCATTAAGTGCGGCCCCAAGTCTGGTCAGTTCTACCAGCATCAAAGACCCCTCACCTCAGCCCTTTCAGGCTGCACCCACCAGCCTGCCTCAGGGCGTGTTCCTCTGCTGCCAGACCTTCTGATCCACTCGCTGCCTACACAGGATCCAGTAGGTCTTTTGAAAGTGTGTGCTCACCTCCGCAATGCTGTGTAAAGCTCCCCGTGCCCCCCCCCACCCCGGGCCCCTTCTCATCCAGCCCCTTTCTCCCACCCTCCTCTGCCACCTAAGGCTCCTGACACAGCCATTCCTCCTCCATCACAGCTCAGCTCCAGGGGCGGTGCCCACTTTGTCTGCCCCACAGTCATTCTCCATCACATCAGCCTGCTCGTTCCTGGATCTTTCTTCCTTTGCTTGTGGTCTTTGCTCCATGGACGTGGCTGCAGTAGCCCAGGGACCCCACCTGTCCCGTTCCCTGTAAAGTCCCCATATCTGCCGTCTAGCAGGCACCTCAAAGCCACCTGTGTCTTTCAGAGCCACCTTCCTTCATGAAGTCCAAAGTGTATGACTTGTCCTTCAAGTGAGTGAGGAGTGTGCGTCCTGGCGAGTGCCGTCAGCTTGCATTGCTCCCTCTCCCCTCCGCTCGCTCTGCCCTTCACGCCCCAGACAGGTTTCAGATGGCTGTTTTGTCCCTGACGTTCCTGTACCGTGTGCGTTCCTGTGAAGATCCTGGCTCTGAAATGGTGGGGGCCACGGGAGAGAGAGACTGTCACCACAGGGAGAGGCCAAGGGGACCTGGGTCAGGATGACTTCTCGCAGGTAGGGGTTCCCGCCAGTCGCCTGCCCCGGCTCTGACTCCATACACGTGCTACTGCTCGCCCTTCTCCGCGCCGTCCCACGTGTTATTCATTGTCCCGACGCCATGGGTCCTTCATGAGCTTCCTCAGCTTCGTCCCTGCTGCGTCCCCACCACACGGCTCTGCCCTCTGCCCATTATGTCAACGCCACTCAATCCTCGGTCCTGTGACATGCTAAGCCTCCTCCCCATTCCCCCTCCCTCAGCCTGGGGACCCGGCTGCCTCCTCACCAGGGACACCAGAACCTCCCGTTCCAGCCGTGCCTTGTCCGCACCCAGCGAGCTGCTTCCTGTGGCGCACAGAGGGGCACAGGCCACAAGCGTTCCTCTGACCCACACGCTTCCTTCACTCTGTGGCTCTCCCAGACCTGACTGGGGTCTCACGTGCCTTCTTCCCACAAATCCCCCACAACCAAAGCCACGTTCCTGTTCTCCTGTGCCTTTCACAGCTCCTTCTCCAGGAATGTACAAGATCGTTACACTGACCAGATCTCAGACCGAGGCCTACCTGGACAAGTGCACACGGTGTGAAACTCCTCACTATGCCATTCTGACCCGCTAACCCCGGCGGCAGCAGCTCTGATACAACTTTGTTGAGTGTATAACCATAGCACCTGCACTCAAGGAACCTTTCAGCAAGAGAGACTGGATTTTAACTCACCAACTCTAAGTCTCCTGATCCCCTGAGTGAGGAACCGTTGTCCTTTCCCTGGCCTTGTTTTGGAGAACTACCCTGAGCTTATATGTTCGTGTTAGGGACGCTAGAATCCACTGACTACATCAGCATGTATGTTACTGCAGCAAATGAGGAAGTCTCCCCATAGACGAAGGGCATGGGACCAAGCCAAGATAGCTGAGTTTGTGGTGGGTGGCGGAAGGCTACTGTGCACTTCTCAGCGCCTCTCCAGTAACAGATTACTGCGCACCTCACTCCACTTCGTAACTAAATTCACCAGGTTTTGATTTGCCTTTTCTCACCTGTTGCCCAGACACACTCTCCACATCCTCCACTAAAGCCACAGCTTCATCGCCATTTTCTGGATGTTGCTCCCTCACCCAGGCCTGGATCTCCTCTGGCAAGATGGTCAGAAACTGCTCCAAAACCAGCAGCTCCAGTATTTGCTCTTTTGAGTGTGTCTTAGGCCTCAGCCACTGACAGCAGAGTTCCCAGAGCTTGCTGAACGCTTCATGGGGGCCGGCTACCTCCTGGTAGCAGAAGTGCCTGAAGCGCTGGCGGGAAGCTTCGGAGTCAGAGCCGTTGCTGGGAAGAGCTGATTTCTGTCCCTCTGTGGAGTCCTCGCCTGGGGATGGGTATGCCTTGGGACTCCTGGTTGTAGCCATGATTTGCTTCAGCAAACTGGCTCAGTGGTTAGCTGCTTCTATCCTAGAGAGCAGATTCCATTTCCTCTCAGATCACTGGGAAGCCATTCTCCTGGAGACCAATGAAAGAAGTCTTTCTGGAATCAGACACACACGAGAATTTCAGAGTGGTGCAGTTGAGAAAGACAAGGCATTGAAGGGAGGCTACAGAAAAGGGAAAAGACAGGGTAAAGTTATCTCCTATTCCTTCCCTCTGCCTCTTGTGATGTACTTTGTCCTTTTCCTTTGTTCCCTCCACAGTCCAAGCCACAGATCTAAAACATTGGAAATATCAAAATAGTTTTCACCACATCCACATGGTGTTTGCTAATGAATTCCCCAACTAGTTTCACAGTGTCATCCAGCTGTTCTTTCTTTTATTTCCCATATTATTGGGATCTTGTCTCTGCCCTCTGTCCGGTCCCAAAGCCAGGAGCCACCTTCTCAATTGCCACTTTCTCTTAAGGTGCCTAGGATCAACTTATTCATCACTTTCACCCTCCCCCCCCACCGCCCGCCACCACCACCGCCACCACACACATGCACACACAGAGTGTAGATGAGAAATGACTGGTTTGCTATATGCTCTTATTCTCCAGTATTCTTTCCTATTTAAAAAAAAATTTTTTTTAATCTTTTTATTTATTTCTGAGTGAGAGAGAGAGTAAGCGTGAGCAGGGGAGGGTCAGAGAGAGAGGGAGATACAAAATCTGAAACAGGCTCCAGGCTCTGAGCTGGCTGTCAGCACAGAGCCCAACATGGGACTCCAACCCACGAACCATGAGATCATGACCTGAGGCGAAGTCGGATGCTTAACCGACAGCCACCCAGGCGCCCCTTTCCTATTTTTGAATGCAGTCTCTTCTTCCTTTGTGAAAGAGTCCCTTTCTAGCCCAGTGAATCTGGTGGGTCTATTCATTACAGTACCCTGCTCCCCACCTGGGGAGCAGGCATGTGATATAAACAGGGCCTGTCAAAATTCCCTGAGATTTTACCTACAGGTGGGGTAGGAAAAGTTCCAAATTTCCTAGGAATTGCTGAATTGTGAGGCTGTAAGACTGGAGCTGTCCCTAATTATGTCACACTCAACATTCTACTCCTCTACCGAAAGGGTAAACCTGTTCACAGGAAGGAGTAAAAAAATGCTTTTAAAAAACTGGATTCAAGGGGTGCCTGGGTGGCTCAGTTGGTTGAGGTTCAGACTTTGGCTGGGGTCATGATCTCACAGTTTGGGAGTTCGAGCCCCACATAGTTCTTAGTGCTAACAGCTCGGAGCCTGGAGCCGGCTTCAGATTCTATGTTTCCCTCTCTCTCTGGCCCTCTCCCACTTGCACTCTGTCTCTCTCCCCAAAATAAATAAGCATTTAGAAATATGTGAGAAAAGGGGCGCCCGGGAGGCTTAGTCGGTTAAGCGTCCGACTTTCGCTCAGGTCATGATCTCGCGGTTACTGGGTTCGAGCCCCGCGTCGGGCTCTTTGCTGACTGCCAGCTCAGAGCCTGGAGCCTGTTTCAGTCTGTGACTCCCTCTCTCTCTGACCCTCCCCTGCTCACGCTGTCTCTCTCTCTCCTAGAAATAAATAAAAAGCATTAAAAAAAATTAAAATAAAAAAGAAATATGTGAGAAAAAAACAGACTGGGCTCAGATTACTCTTCTTCCAAAGTTGAACTGCCTTCACTTATAATCTCTAAACATGTAATGCGGCCCAAGAGGCAAGAAGTGGAGAAATGGAAGGCATTACAGATAGTAGTTCTTTTTAACAAAAAAGAGCATCACATGGCATATAGCTCCTCAGCACAAGGTCCAGGACTCGAAGACGGGATTTTCTACATCCTGCACCTTCTCTGGAAGAGGAATAATTTGATAAATGCTACCCTCGTTTCATGCGGAAGGCAGAGCCTGTGCTCTCTTGGCCTCTGCCATCCCACCCTTAGTTTGTTTTAAAACGTTGGTCTCAGAAATGTGTTTCACTCCGGCAAGAACTCTGGCGCTTGGCGGGAAGCAGGACGAGGACTGGAGCCGGGCTGATTCACTTCGTCGGCAGCAGTAAATTCCGCTGCGCCCCCGGCGTGCGAGATGCGGAAAAACATCCGCACGGGGACGGCTTGGAAGGAGGACCGCGCCTGCCCCCACCATTCTGAAAAGACTTCCAGCGGCAAAGGGGCTCATAGGCCGGCGTCAGACCCCGCCGCGAGCCCGCAGTCGCGAAGAAAGGGAACACTCACCGGACTCGCTCAGCTGCCGGGCCGGAAGTCAGCGCCTGGAAAGCCGGCTACGCGTGCTCGCGAGTAGCGCCATTGGACTACAGCTCCCGGCGAGCAATGCGAAGGCCGGGCGTCGTCCCTCGCCAGCACCGACAGACTTCGTAGCAAATAGATGCGAGAGAACGCCCTCTGGGAGCCAATCCCTCAGGAGAGGGGGCGGGCCCTCCTGCGGCGCACTTCCCCGCGTCATTCCTCCTCAGCCAGCGGAAGCGTCCGCGACGAGCGGCCCCGGCCCCGCCCCCGGCGCTAGCTCTCGGGTTCCGGGTCCCGGGTCCCCAGAGAGGTGAGTCCGCGGCAGGTGGGCGCCGGTTGCCAGACCGCTTGCGAAGCCGCCCCCTCAGGGCCAGCCCGGGCCCTCATGCAGTCACGAAGCTGAGCCGCGCGCCGGAGAGCCGCAGCTTCGCCTCGCCGGGGACAGCCGGGGCGCCCTTGGAGGCCGCAGCGAGTGGGCCTGCCGGGCGTCGGGAGCGAGCCGCCGCCGCGCTCAGCCTGCCTTGCTGTGCGTGGGGGGCTTCCGATCCCTCCCTCCGGCGCGCGCTGTCGGGCGACATGCTCGAGGTTGTTGCCGCCCGAGTGCGGCGGAGCTGGCGCAGGCCACCTGTGTGACAACTTGAACTTTTCCTAGGATTTCCCGGCCGCCAGTTTGGTCACGTTGCGCATTTCCTCTGAGACCTCGTGCGCTTATCGATGAAGTAAAAGCAAGATTTTCCCTAGTTCTTTCAGAACGTTACGACTTTTCTCCATTTCGAGACAGCTCAGGAAACTACCAGAGGGATAGACACTCCCCTCCGTCGGGCCCTGCGTTGTCTTTGGGAGCTTGGGGCCTGTTTGTGCCCCGCCCTCACTGACGTCTTTCCATCACTTAGAGACGACACTTGTCCGGAGACATGATCCCGAAGGCTTGAGCTACTCGCCTGGAGAGAGAGAGGCTGTCTCCGGAGCCCCAAAATGGCGGCTAAGATGGAGATAACTTTGAGCTCGCAGTCCCACATTCAGGCCTCCTCCAAGCCAGAGAGACACATAATAACAAAGCTGGAGGAGAAACGGGGACCGGCTCTGCAAAAGGACCGCCCAGATCCCGAGCTCTCCCGCCAGAGCTTCCGAAGGTTTTGTTATCAAGAGGTGTCTGGACCCCAAGAGGCACTCTCCCGGCTCCAGCAGCTCTGCCGTCAGTGGCTGCAGCCTGAGCTGCACACCAAGGAGCAAATATTGGAGTTCCTGGTGCTCGAGCAGTTCCTGAACATCCTGCCCCCGGAGATCCAGGCTCGGGTCAGGCATCGATGTCCAGTGAGCTGCAAGGAGATTGTGACCCTTGTGGAAGATTTTCAAAGAGCAGCCAAGAGACCAAAGCAGTGGGTAAGGAGGGCCCTGTCTCGTGGTTCCCAGGATTTCGTTTTCATCTGGATAGTATTTGGGCTCTGGATCCCTCCCTAGTTAGTCCAGAAATGCACCGGATGGCTTCAGATGTTGCTTCTGGCCTCTGTTTGGGAACATCCCCTCAGAGAGATAACAGGTTGTCAGGCACTGGCACTCCAGTGAGGAAGTAGAGGATCAAGTAAGGTTCTTGCATTTTTGCTGACAGATCTCGCCACACCCATTCCTGAAAGTTTCCTACAATCAGGATTCTTAGCAGAAAGGATCATATTGTTGGGTAAGAATTTGATTTGGGGGGAATGTAATGGTAGACCTTGTTTTCGTGAAGTGTCTTGCTTTTGGATCACGAAGTTGCAGCTCACTTGGCCATTCTTTCTTCTAGCCCCCCCCCGCCCCCCCCCCAAGTCAGATTCCAGTCAGAGCCCTGCTACTACTGGGATCTCCTTCCCAGGGAAGTCTTGGGCAGAACAATTGATTAGGTAAGGGTGGTTGTTGTTTTAATGGCCTTGCCGTACTACTTCCCTATCCAGCAGGGCCTGTTTTCAGTAGAAGTAGGGAGGCACATGGACATAGGGTGACAATCTGTTAGGCCAGTGTCACGACTGACCAATATTTGTGCCTTCTCTGTGATGACTCTGAGGCCTCGAGAAAGGCACATGGTTTAGGGCACCCACTCAGGAAATCCTGGCTGATTTGAAGTAGCGTCTCTCTAATCGTTTTCCACGTCCCGCCCTTTGCTTCCTTTGAGACTCTCCGAAGTCTCTCCAGGTTGGCCCCCACGCTGTTTTCAGGGATCCGCAGGGTGAAGGAGTCCTCGCAGAGCAGAGAGAGGCCCAGCTCCTCTCGGCGCGTCCTCTAGCTGCACGCTAATGCATGGGACTTGTTCCTAGGTGGCCGTGTGCATGCAGGGGCAGAAGGTGCTCTTGGAGAAGACTGGATCTCAGCTTGGAGAACAGGAATTGCCAGACTTTCAGCTGCAAACTCCTAGGAGGTATCCCCGGGAGAGTGCTCTGGAGGAGCCTTCCCAGGCGGGATCTCCAGACCAGCTGAGCTCTCATCATTGGGAAAAGTCACCGCTCCTCCAGGAACCAAGCCCCAGATTGGCTGGGACAGGTAAACACTTGATACCTCTTCTCTCCCTAAGTCCTTTACCTCTGTCAGAATATCTCATCGTTCTGAGAAACCGTAGACCTTGTGTTGAGTTTGTTTAATGTTTTATATAGCAGGAGAGTTTTATTCTCTAACCAATTTAACTGAGCAGAATGGTAGTGATACTGTACATAAGAAGTACCTTTCTATTATTGTCTGTTAATGACTCTAACAGTCCAGCGCACAATAGGATTATCTAGGTCCTACTTCTCTGTTCCTTTCAGAGCTTCTTGCAGTGAAGACAGATCCACATATGGCCACTGATGAATGTCCATGCTATCAGTGGCTGAGTGTCATCACTTAAAATGATCCTATGTTTAGAAAGGGCCTAAAGGAAAAGTCCTGCTCCATAATATCTTCTGCCTCTTCCTCTCTCCATGACGTCTTATGTCTATTTCCCTATTTGTGTCTGGTATGATGCCAGTAATTGTTGGCCCTGCTGTACTCGAAGACCAAATGACAGTGACGCTTTGGCCAATCTTAGCGATATGAATACAGGGGCCGGTCAGCGGGTTAGAGAAAAAGGTTACCAGAAGGCTAGAACATCTTGATTCCTTAAGATTTGCTACATTTCAGTGAAATACTTGGGTTTGGTTTTTCTTGGAACTTAAGAGTAGAGAAGATCAAGGTACCTGAGTGGCTCAGTCAGTTAAGCGTCAGCTCTTGATTTAGACTCAGGTCATGATCTCACTGTTCATGGGATTGAGCCCCGCGTTGGACTGTGCTGACAGTGTGGAGCCTGCTTGGGATTTTCTCTCTCCCTCTCTCTGTGTCCCTCCCCTGCTCACATTCTCTCTGAAAATAAATAAACATTAAAAAAAATAATGAGAAGACCAGGGGCATCCAATGGAAAAGCACTTTGACCCTGGCTGAGGTCCTGACCTATAACCTATGGACTTCATGGTCCTCAGCCTGCACACTCCCTTCTCCTGTCTCATCATAGGCAGCTCAGTGTGCATACAGGCTCCGTCTCCTTTTATTTGATTGCTGCAGGTAGAGTCTCGTGTTCCTCACACCTAAGATCAGCAGTGCCTTTCTTCAGAGCTGCACTGCCCATACAGTTGCCAATGGCCACAGGTGGCTATTTAAATTTTATTTATGGAGCTATAATTCACATATTATAAAATTCACCCTTTCAAAGTGTACAGTACAGTGGTTTTTATTATATTCATGCACTTATGCAACCATCCCCACTATCTTTTTTTTTTTTTATTTCTAGGAGAGAGACAACGTGAGCAGGGGAGGGTCAGAGAGAGAGGGAGGTACAGACTCTGAAATAGGCTCCAGGCTCTGAGCTGGCAGTCAGCACAGAGCCCCACGTGGGGCTCGAACCCACGAACCACGAGATCATGACCTAAGCGAAAGTCGGACACTTAACCGACTAAGCCACCCAGGCGCCCCTCCCACTATCTTATTTTTGAATATTTTTATGACCTCAGAAAGAAACCCAGACCCATTGGTGGTCACTCTCTAGTGCCCCTTTTCCAACCCCTGGCAACCACCATGTACTTTCTGTCTCTGGATTTGCCTTTTATGGATATTTCAGAATCACATTTGCTCTGCTGTTTTGTGAATGGCTTCATTCCCTGAGCATAATGTTTTCACGGTTCATCCATGCTGTAACACGTATCAATCACTACTTTGTTCCTCTTATGGCTGATATTCCATTATATGGATCTGCTGTTTATGCTTCACTTGATGGTCATTTGGGGTACTTCCATTTTTTGACTGTTAGAAATTATGCTGCTGTGAACACTCATGTACAAGTGTTTGTGTGGACAGGCTCTCATTTCTCTTGGATGTATATCTCAGAGTGGAATAGCTGGGTCATATGGTAACTCAGTGCTTAACCTTTTGAGGAAATGCTAGGCTGTTTTGCAAAGCAACTGCGCCATTTTACATTCCCACCACCAGTCCCTAGGAGAATTCTGATTTCTCCACATCCTTGTTACCCTTGTCAGTCTTTCTGGTTACAGCAATCCCGTTAGGTGTGGAGTGGTACCTCATGGAGGCTCTATTTCTCTGATGGCGAATGATGTTGAGCATCTTTTCATGTTTCTGTTGGTCATATATCTTCTTTGGAGAAGTATCTATTCAGATCCTTTGCCCATCTCTAAATTGGGTTAGTCTTTGGGGCGCCTGGGTGGCTTAGTCAGTTAAGCGTCCGACTTTCGCTTAGGTCATGATCTCGCGGTTCGTGGGTTCGAGCCCCGCGTCGGGCTCTGTGCTGACTGCCAGATCAGAGCCTGGAGCCTGTTTCAGTCTGTGACTCCCTCTCTCTCTGACCCTCCCCTGCTCACGCTGTCTCTCTCTCCTGGAAATAAATAAAACATTAAAAAAAAAAAATTTTTTTTTTTAAATATTTAAAAAAAAGTAAATAAATTGGGTTAGTCTTTGTTTTTAAGAGTTCTCTGTATTTCCTGGATACTAGAGTCTTATATATATAACTTACAAGTGTTTTCTCTCTCTTTGGGTTATCTTTTCACTTCCTTGATAGTATACTTTGAAGCACAAATGTTTCTAATTGTGATCAAGTCCAGTTTGTTTATTTTTATTGGTTTGCCTGTGTTTTTGGTGACATATCTAACATACCATAGCCTAATCCAGAGTCACAGAAATTTATACCAATGTTTTGTTCAAAGAGACATTGGTTTAGCTCTTATATTGAGTTGTTTTTTGTTATGTAATGAGGCAAGGGTCCACCCTCATAGTTTTCCAAGTGGATATACAGTTGTCCCAGCCGATTTTATTGAAAGAAGTATTCTTTCCCCATTGAATTGTCTTGACAACCTTGTTGAAAAGCAATTGACCATAATTGTGTAGGCTCCTTATCTAAATCTGGATTTAAATTAATTAAACTGAGGTTACACTAGCCACATTTCAAGGACTCAGTAGCCCCAGGTGGCTAGTGGCAGCCATATTGAATAGTGCGTGCACAGGTACCCATACACATGTACCCTTCCCACCTGGCAGGAATCCTATGGGATAGCATGGCTCCAGATCCTCCAACTTGTCCACAGACATTCTAGCTCATTTCCATCCTGATCCTCAATCATGATGATCAGAAATTGGGGAGTTTCTGAAGTCAGGACCCAATGCAGTTTTTAACCCTAATGCTGTCACGTCGTAATGAAAGAATGTGTCATGTTTGCTGGATTTCCCATTATTTAAAGAGACAGTGGCGATCATTCAGTGTCCATGTGAGTAAGTGTGTTGCAGTGTTGAAATTTCAACTCTCTTTTATTTCCATTTGTTAATTAATGCTAGGGCTGATGGGTTTGCTTTTCCATATTTCTTCTTCCCAAACCGTTCCCTAAAGGCCAGAAGGAGATAGGATTGGAGAACTTGGTTCCTAACTGTAATACAAATTAGAATCAGCCCAGGAGCCTGTGGACCATGCAGATTTCCAGGTCCCAACCCCCAGAGATCCTGACTCCACAGTTGTGGGGATGAGGGGGCAGCCTGCTTGCATAACAGGTGTCCCAGATGAGTTGAATGCAAGGTGCCAGGGGAGGACCATACTTCGAGAATGTTTCTTAGCTGTTTGGCTAAGGCCCTTTCTTCAGAGCCCAGAAAATGAAACTATTCTTTCTAATTATAGAAGCCCCCAGAATGAAAAGTGACAACAAGGAAAATCCACAGCCAGAAGGGGCAAAAGGAGGGAAGCCATGTGCCCTGTCCCCTGGCAGATCCAAAGGTAATGGTCTGCAGAGTCCCGAACCGAGAGGGGCGAATATGAATGAACCCCGGTTGTCACGGAGGCAGATCAGCCCCCCAAATGCTCAGAAGCCATTTGCTCACTACCAGAGACATTGCAGGGAACTGGAATACATCAGCAGCCCCCTGAAAAGTCACCCACTGAGAGAGCTGAAGAAAAGCAAAGGGAGCAGAAGGAGCCTGAGCAGTCGTTTGCAGCGTCTTGGTCACCAGCCGACCTGTTCGGCAAAGAAGCCTTACAAATGTGATGACTGTGGGAAAAGCTTCACGTGGAATTCAGAGCTGAAAAGGCACAAGCGAGTGCACACAGGGGAGAGGCCCTACACGTGCGGAGAGTGTGGGAACTGCTTTGGGCGCCAGTCGACCCTGAAACTGCACCAGAGGATCCACACCGGGGAGAAGCCCTACCAGTGCGGCCAGTGTGGGAAAAGCTTTCGCCAGAGCTCAAACCTCCACCAGCACCACAGACTCCACCACGGGGACTGAAGCGGGCTTTGTTCTCTGTTCAGAAGGAAGACATCTATATTTCTCCTTCCCCTTACTTGCATGTAAATCACAGGTTGTCTGCGTGACTTACAAGGAAAGCAAGAAGTCCCCAAGGGATGCGGTGCACGTGCAGCTGGTGAGGAGTTCCAGACGATGCTGAGGGGGATGTGACTGTGTCGGTGACAGGGTGAAGAAATGGCAGGTCTGGGCATTGGGTCAGAGAGAACTGGGGCCTCTGCTGGAAAGCAGGGAGTAACAGCTGAGAGAATCTAGCCGATCCCGCAGGTGCCCCTCCCCCCACCTTGGTGTGACATCTTCCCCCTGCTGCTTTATTTATTCTCTAAACGTGTTCAAGGGTAAATTACATACGTATATATTTAATGTACTTGCTGTCATGCCAGACTGTCTTTACCACACACACACTTCTTTAATAATGATCAGTGATTTCAAGGCAAAATTTCATTGGAATATAAATCCCCTCATATTATTTCTGTAATTGCTGGCTGTTCGTAATAAAGGATACGTGAAGTCAGAGTATAAACATGTTTGTATAAGGACAGAATTTTTGAGTAAGTAGTGCTACACACACGTGCGCTCACACATATTGAGGAGTCTGTTTCTAGTAAAGCACTTTTGATGAAGGAAATCTGCCGCAGGCCCCACAGAAGCAACAGGGAAAAGGTACAACAGAAAAGAAGCACATAAAGTGTGTCCACAGCTGAGGATGTGCCGAAGGGAGCCCTCACTGCTCTCCTTCCCCAGGCCACTGATGAAATGTTATAAAACTGGGTATTCCAGTACCTTTACTAACAATCATTGAAATGGGTTAATTTTATGATGAATAAATTAATCTCTCTGTGAAGCTTCTAAAAAAGAAAACACAACGTATATTTGTGTAGCGTTCAAGTCCTGGAACAAGGCCAGAGAGCTGGTATAATTCCATCCCTACATTCTTTCAGAGTAAGAATCCGAACCCAGTCGGGATGGTTCTTAATTGCCCACAGCAAGTGAGTGGATCTCGGACTTCTGAGAAGACCTTTGGTGGATGGGTGCCTCTGGCAAGAAGCGGCTGTGTGGCATTCCCCCTAAAGCACGAATATCCACAGGTCACTGCTGCTCTCTTCCAGGCTGTCTCCCATGCTGCATCCTCCCTCCGCAGGGGGCTCTGCCCACGCTGTTCCCTTTGACCTTTCGACCTGCTGCCCCCACCACTTCCTCTCCTGCTCCACAGGAGCAGCCTGCTCAGCAAAGCCTCTGGGCAGATTTTTTGTGTTACTCCCTGCCTCACACCACACACCGGTGGTGCTCAACCTGGGAGCAGATTTGCCCCCTAGAGGGCATTTGGCAATGTCTGGAGATGCTGTTGGTCCTTATGATGTGGGGGGAGGGAGGGTAGTGTCTGGCTTCTTGTGGGAGACCAGGGGATGCAACTAAACTGCCCCACAGCAAGGGCGCCTGGGTGGCTCAGTAGGTTGAGCATCCCGACTTTGGCTCAGGTCATGATCTCGTGGTTCATGGGTTTGAGACCTGCGTTAGGCTCTGTGCTGACAGCTCAGAGCCTGGAGCCTGCTTCCCATTCTGTGTCTCCCTCTCTCTCTGTCCCTCCCCTGCTCATGCTTAGTTTCGTAGTGCCAACATCAGGGAGCTGTACTGTACACGGTAAAAGCTGTTTAAGGTCAAGAATCTTATTTTCCCCTCATTTTAGCTTTTAGACTGAGCCCATGCCCAGCCGAGAGAAATAGGTGTTCCATCAGGGCCAAGTCCTGAATCAGAGATCCTGGTGACAATGTTGAATGCAGATGACAAAGCCCCTTGTCTTTTGGGCAGAGAGACTTAATGGAAGCCCAGTGGCCTTTTTGGTGGACCTTTAGACTAATTCATGGTCCCCTTCCTGGCAACCATGTTAGATTTTAGAGGAGTTCAGGGGTGCCTGGGTGGTTCAGTTGGTTAAGCATCCAACCTCGGCTCAGGCCATGATCTTGTGGTCTGTGAATTTGAGCCCCGTCTCAGGCTCTGTGCTGACAGCTCAGAGTCTGGAGCCTGCTTCAGATTATGTATCTCCCTTTCTCTCTCTGCCCCTCCCCTGCTAGTGTGCTTGCGCGCGCTCTCTATCTCAAAATAAAAACATTAAAAAAAAGAAAGATTTTTGAAGAGTTTGGCTTCATTACTACTGCTCCTTACCTCGCCTCTGTCTGTTGCCTCTCACCAGTTAGGGCCTCTTGATTCCTCATTCATTCCCACGTCATCCGTCTCCTTTTTCCAGGCCAATTTTGCTGTCATAAGACCCCCTTCATGATAGTTTTGTCTGTATCAGTTTCCTCTTGGCACTGTAACAGATGATCACAAACTTAGTGGCTTAAAACGACTGCAATCTCTTAGAGTTCCAAAGGTCAAAAGCCCAAAATCAGGTTCAAAGAGCCAAAATTAAGGTGTCTGAAGGGTGAATCTGTTTCCTTGCCTTTCTGGACATCTAGTGACCGCTTGTATTCTGTGGCTGGTGACCCCTTCATCTGCAAAGCGCATGTCTCCATTCTCTGTCAGCATATCACCTTGCACTGACTCTGACTCTGACCCTGACCCTGACCCTCTGGCTTCTTATTTATTTATTTATTTATTTATTTTTTAATTTTTTTAATGTTTTATTTATTTCTGAGAGAGAGAGAGAGAGAAAGTGTGAGCGGGGGAGGGTCAGAGAGAGAGGGAGACACAGAATCTGAAACAAGCTCCAGGCTCTGAGCTAGCTGTCAGCACAGAGCCCGACGCGGGGCTCGAACCCACGAACCATGAGATCATGACCTGAGCCAAAGTCGGACACTTAACCAACTGAGCCACCCAGGCACCCCTCTGGCCTCTTATTTTAAAGTGCTGTAATGTTTATATTTGGGCCCACCCAGGTGATCTAAGATAATCTCCCCATCTCAAGATTCTTAATCACATCTTCAAAATCCCTTTTGCCATATAAGGTAAAATTCACAGGTTCCAGGGATTAGGATGTGGGCATATTCGGGTCGGGGGAGGGGGAACCAGTTTGGGCCAACCATACCCATCTGTTGAATCAACTTGGTTAGTCAAAGATTCTCCTAAGAGCGAATGAACATAGATTTCCAGGCTTCTTAGTTATAAGAGTTGGACAGGAACTCTTCCTAACTAACTAAGAGCTTTGGTATGTTTTGGAGAACCTGTGTGTATGTGCTTTCTCTCTTCTGAACAAAATCAATAATTGCTGAATCTTAAGACTTCCTGAGTGGCTCAGTCAGTTAAGCATCCGACTCTTGGTTTTGGCTCAGGTCATGATCTCAAGGTTCATGGGTTCAAGCCCTGTGTTGGGCTCTGTGCTAACAGAGTGGAGCCTGCTTGGGATTCTCTCTCTGTCCCTCACTCATGCTCTCCCTCTCTTTCAAAAATAAACATTTAAAAAAATAATTGCTGAATCATAAAGTCTTTGGGTATCTATTCAAATGCGGTCCTTGGATAAATGTGACAAAATTGCCAATATGAATATCCCTCATTTCCAAAATGTCTTCAAGCCTGTGATGCTACCTTGCCTCTCCCAGCCCAGTTTTCCTTTAGCAAGTCAGGCTCAACTCCAGGCCAGCAGAGTCTGAAGGATGGAAGAAGACACGCAGCCACATTTGCAGGTATGCTCAGATCTGCAGATGTGGGATTCTCCCCACCCCCTTGCTTTCGTGTGGGTCCACCAGAGGCCTCCACACAGACCACCAACTTACTGGCTCGCAGCTAGCAACCCCATTTAAGTAATAGTATTTCTCCTTTTGTGTGCATCCCTCACCCATGAGCAATGTGTAAGGTTTACTTTTTCCTGTGGCTTTGGCTTGTACTTAGCCCATGGATGGGGATGACTCCTACTTAAGTTGTTTGGTCCCCTCATTGCCCCCAGGGAGGCAGACAGGGAAGCATTCGTGCATAGGTTGGGGATCTGGACTTCACAGATTTCCCTTAAAAAACATTTTCCATTTACAGCAGATAAGGACTCTTCCCTTCATACCATTACCACTCCTAACGAATCATCAACTACCAAATACCACCCAATACACAGTGTTGAAATTTCCCCCCATGTTTCTAAAAGAAAAAAAAATTTTTTTACAGCTCTGTTGATACCTACCTTTAAAGTATATAGTTCAATAATTACAGTATCTTCATGGAGGTATACAGCCATCACCACAGGCTACTTGAGAACATTTCAACAGCTAAAGAGGAACTCCATCATATTTAGCAGTCACTCCCCAAACCGGTGTCCCCTGGAGCCCCCTCTTCACTCAGGACACCTTCAAGGTTCATTCATGTCAAAGCAGGTGTCGGAACTTTCTCCTTTTCATGACTGAGTAATATTCCACCATGTGGACAGACCACTTTTCTTCATTCATCTAGGGATGGACATTTGGGTTGTTTGTACTCTGGGGCTCTTGTGAATAGTGCTGCTGTGAACGTGTGCACGAGGCTTTCCATGACCCCGTGTTTTCATTTCTCTTGGGTATATACCTACGAGTGGAATTGCTGGCTCATATACTAACCTGACGTTTAAGTTTAGTGTCCGAGGAGCTGCCAGACTTTTTCACACTGAACCTCACTTCCACACCTGCAGTATGTGGAGGTCTCGGCTCTTCCACATATTTGCCAACACTTGCTGTCGTCTCTCCAAGTGTAGCCATGTAGGGGATACGAAGTGCTGACTCACTGTGGTTTTGGTTTGCGTTTCCCTGTTGCTGCGTATCTTCTCATATGCTTACTGCCCATTTGTGTATCTTCCTTGGAGAAATGGCTATTCAGAACCTCTGCTCTTTTAAAATTGGGTTGTCTTTCTCATTGTTGAGTTGTAAGAGTCCTTTATATGTCCTGGAATCAAGTCCTTTTCAGATACATGACTTGCAAGTTTTTTCTCCCATTCTTTTGTAATATACTTCTGCACAATTGCAACATATCTTTTTAAATATAATTTTTAAAAGTTTGTCTATTTTGAGATAGAGAGCAAGGGGGGGCGGGCAGAGAGAGAGAGAGAGAGAGAGAGAGAGAGAGAGAGAATCCCAAGCAGGCTCTGAGCTGTCAGCCGAGAGCCTGATGCAGGGCTTGAACTCACAAACTGTGAGATCATGACCTGAGCCAAAATCAAGAGTTGGACACTTAACTGAGCCATCCCGATGCCCCTGCAGTATATCTTTTAATGTAGCTGTCACCAGCCAAAACATAGGTGACCCATATGGTCACAGTTCCTGAATTGCTGGTGAAACAAGTGAAGATAAACCACTTAAAATGTCACTCCTGGCTCTAGAAGCTCATCTGGAACCAGATAAGCACAGAGCCAGCTAGGTGAACCCCAAGAACCTACCTTGTTTTGGGAGTGACTTGGCTGTGGTTGGATCTGAAGCAGCTCAGTAAACAAGCCAGAGGAATGGACTTAGTGCCAGGCTAAGACCAAGGGATTGTGCCCAGCTCTGTCACTCATTCTCCAGTCTGGTGACCTGGGTGCATTATTTAAAACATCCAGACTGGGGAGCCTGGGGTGGCTCAGTGTGTTGGGTGTCC